CCGCCCCCCCCCCGCCGCGCGGGCCCGCCCCCCCCCGGGCCCCCGGCGTTAGAGGCTCGGGGGGGAGGGGGGCTGCCTGAAGCCCATAGCGCTCGGGCAGCTCGGCTCTTAAACAGAGCCGAAGAGTCAGGGGAGGAGCAGAGCAGCCGCGGGAGGGGAAGTGCCCGGCTGGCATTTTCCTGGACATGTTCGGCTTTTTGGCAATTCCCCCCGGACGGGGGTTTGATTACCAAAAAGTCGGACATGTCCGGGAAAAAATGGACGTATGGTAACCCTAGTCTCTGGGTACTACTGTAATGCAAATAATGATAATAACAAAAATAACTTATTGTCTTTTACATGCAATTTTCTGCCTTTACTGTTGGTGTATAATTTTAATGGCATATTTTGGACAACCTCTACATCAAACATAAGTTCTCCACTCTGTTTTCCTTCTCCAGTTAATGTTGGGGAGAGGGGTTGTATTGTTTTTGGGTGAAGGGAGGACTGTCTTTGTAGTTGGCTTTTATTAAGGTTCATTTTGAGATCTCTAGTTTTATAGGAGAGTATTTTCTCTTTACCTGTTTGGGATAATGAAAGAATATGTTCTGATTCAGGGGTGAAAGTTATTTCCTCCATATGAAAAAAGTCCAAAGTTAGACATTTTGCAAAGTGAAACAAATTAAAAGCAGTTACATTTCTGAGTTGGAAATTGATGTTTGCTAGTTTTTAATATATATTTATTTAAACTCCCTTCTAATCCCATACTCTTCCAGCAGATGTAGCTATAAACCAAATAGATTTAAAACATAGAAATTGATTTCAAATATTTATTTTAAAAAGTTAGATTAAATCAATAGTAGAGTAGTCAGCCTTAAAAAATTGCCATTTGCCTTTGTTAACTAAATAACTTTACTTCTGTATTTGTAGCATTTTAGGTATTTGCTATATAATATACAGTCATACTGAAATAATGAGGTATCTGTATCTATTTATCTAATGCAAAATTTGACAACAGGATGACCACTGTATGCATCGTAAAATATGGAAAGCCAGAATAACAAGTTAGGTAAATTCAGCATCTCTTGTTCACCACAACTAGGGCTTTGTCATATTATTATAATTTAATGATTCAAAACCAGAAGTACATATTTATTAAAATTTAGGACTATTTATTGAGGCTCACATAACTGGAGAAATGATGGGAAATGCATTCATTTTTATGAACAGTATATTGCATTTGGAATAGAATTGTTTGCACATCTCTCCTTTTAATTTAATTTAAGGCCAGGTTCTGCCTCCATTACGTACATTGAGTATTAAAGTCAATGGGAGTATTTGAGTAATAAACTACTGATACTACTCAGCTAATTAATATGAATCAATTCTATGGCCTGTTTTATACAAAAGGACAGGTCTGATGAGTCTGTGTTCCCTTCTGGTCTTAAAATCTCTGCAACTGCATATAAGGCTAGCAGAATCTGGCTTTTAATTGTTCAGTGACTCTATTATAGGCTTGGAAAAACAGGAAATATGTGTATGTTCAAGGGCAGAATTTATTAACTCTCAAAGCTTTAAAAATATTCATTTTTCTTCTTTATTTGCATATAAGCAGAGACTTTCCCCTGCCCATCGCTTCCATTTTTATGCATACAACAAAGGCTTCTTGTTTGCCTGAGACAATAGTTCATATAAAACAAGATCAGTCAGAGTGGAATTCGCTGGTTTTCTCACACTTCTTGGTTCTTGAACCACTGTCTTCCCCTTTATGATCAGATATTGATCCTTTTCTCTAGATTAGTTGTGCCTGAGACATTCTTTTCAATAACTCAGCTGTGCTCCCTCATTGGCTCATGCTAACTATCCTTTTTATTTTATTTTTTACCTGTCCCTCACAAGAATCCCTGTTGCTTTAGATAACTTTGTGTTATCCACTTCTCTTTTGTGGAAGTACATTCCAGAAAAATTATATGCTCCTTGAAAATGTTAATTTTTGTCATCCAGAAATCCTGGCCTCACTAAAGTCATTGGTAGTTTTGCCGTTCAGTTCAGTGGAGCTTGGAATTCATTCATTGTATTTCAAGAGTTCAGTGTTTTTTAAATATCATCCTACAAAAATAATTTAAGTGTCCATTGTGTGTATGTGTGTTTAAACTATATGAAATTATACACAGTATCTTGCACATGATTAGAGTTAATATGAGACTTCACTATCCAAAATCTTCTTAATTTAAAACAGCAGTTCCCAAACAGTGAGTTGCAACCCCAATAGGGGTGGGTTGTGCCATCAGCAGATGGGGTCGTGGGGTCCAACAGACCATATTCGTTGTGTGAGATGATGCCGTCTGCCCCCAAATGTTTCCAGACCTGCTCCACAAATGCCATGCCAGGAGGCTGACATTTTGACCTACAAAATGATGGCCTCCACACATCGTGGCCTCAAGGATACAGTGTATGTGAGGTCATGTTGTGCGGAGGCTACCATTTTTGTAAAATGGGTGCCTCCTGGTGTAGTATTTGTGGAGCAGGTCTGGACATGTTGGATGTGCAGAGGTGGCTTTGCAGATTCCATTTTGCCATTTGCACCATCCAACTTTGCAGATATCCAGGTGAGAGACTTGAATCCAGAAGATCCTTTTCAGTAGGCAGCAGCTTTATCAATAGAGCATCCTCTCTGCCTGAGCTGGTAGGAGCCTGTGCTAGTCTTTTCTGAGATGGGAATCTGCAGTTGCTTGTAAGTACCTTAAGGCAGGGCCCATATCTTCTTTTTATGCTACCCTGAGTACACTGTTGGCACTCGATAAAGAATCATTGTAACTTGTTGGGTCCATGCTGCAAGTTCCTGGCTGACAATGAAATTATTCAGCCTCCCACACAGGTGATGATGGCTAAGCATCTCAGCCAGATGAAGGAAAGTTTGCATCCTTTTCCCTCAACTTGAACATGACAAAGTATGATTGGGTACAAAACCCCTTTCACTGCAAGCCTGATAATATGGATTTGCCAGCAGCTGAAATCAAACAGCTCACTGAAATTTCCTGCAGTGGATTCTTGTGAGGAACTTATCCCCAAGTTTCTCTCCTGGAGTTCTGATTCCCTGCCAAGAGTGAATATCCTGCACTCTCAACTCGTGCCTTGAAATTGATGGTGCCATTCGTGAGCACATATTTGTGTGAAGCTGGATTCAGTTCACCTGTGTCCATCAAATCTCAGTATTGATCTTCTGTTGATGTTGCATCATAGATTAAATGTGAAATTTATCACACCGCTGGACTTCGAGAAGTTGTGTTGCAACACGCAAGACTGTGTGTCACATTAGAGAGCATTAAATAACGTACTTAATGTGTAAATTCCTTTAATTCCTTGGTCACTGTGTTGCGTTGTTGCTGTCTGGGGTCACAGCAAACAGTGTCTCAAAACGGGGTCATGCAGGCAAAAAGTTTGGGAACCCTGATTTAAAGTGAAATCACTGAATGCTATTTTCTAATATCTTATGGAAAGCTGCTAAACAGGCTTCTCCAACTTTTGATTGCTAAATTTGGCTAGACTGCACAAAGTTCCTGTGGTTCATTCTGATATGTATTTGACACTTTGGGAGTCAGAAGGGGATGGAGACTTGATTTACAAATGTTTCCAGGGACCAGAAATTATCCCTGGTTTTAGGGGAGTGTGGCGTTCAGAGTTAGTGTGGTTGGAGAAGTTTGAGTGACAGCTGCTTGCCTTGAAAAGTAGTGTGCATGCCACCATATTATTCCAGTTTTATGCAAAAATAATTCCATTGAAGTCAGCGGAATTATACTTGCATAAAACAGGACAGATGTAGTAATCAGCCTCAGCTCCTTTGTTTGTCACTTACACCCATTTGGTACGAAGGAGAAATTAATTTCTCACATTAGTGTGAGATTGTGAAACGAAGGGTTAGTATTTCTGGCAATAACTGGTTAAAATTTTCAGCCAGGATAACTGATATACCCCTTGCCGCTCATTCTGAATTCCTATCTAGAGAAGAAAGGTATATCTTCTGTTTGCAAATCCACATGAATCAGAGCAACTTACTGGCAAGCATTTAGAGACTAAGTTGTTTGTTGTTTTGAAAGTAATCAGTTGAAATCATTTGGACTGCTCACATGCTTAAAGTTAAGCACAGTTAGGTGTTTTTTGGATTGAGTCTAGAGTGCCAAGCACTTTGCAGGATCAAACCCTCTTTAAGTAGTTCAGTTTGTAAGAAGAATCAGAAATAGTTTTTCTTCAGGTTAAGCCTGGGAAACCTCATACAGGCTACATGAGAAACAATGTCAATAGCCCCTTTGTTTAGTTATGTTGAGGTAGACTGAGCTGCATCCTACATATTTGCTGTGTGTTACAGGTGATATTCTTAGTGCCCTAGCTAATGTCTCTGGACGTAAACATCCATCAACAACTCAGGCCAAACAGCTGAAGATGTGCCTTCCCATGATGCCAATAGTTCTTCACCTTGTGACATCCCAGGTAATTATTTTTTAATTAGAAAACAATGTAAACCACTGTATGCTCCTTAAATGCACTGTATGTTGATTGTAATTGGAGTAGGCCAAATTCTGCCTTCTTTACATGAAGTCAGCATTAATTGAAGTCAGTGGGATTTCCAGCTATGTGACAGAATGAAGACTTGAGCCCTATTTGTGAAGTTACATTTAGACAATTCTAATGATAAAAACAAAATAAATGTTCTGCTTTTTTAAACACACTGTAAACTATGCTACATTTATCACGTTTTTAATTATTTACTCTTATGTCAAAACTCTGCTCAAATAGGTATTCCGTCCTCAGATTGTAACCGAGGAGTTTCTTTTAAACTATGGAACTTTGCTTGTAAGTAACAAGTTCAGTTATACTAACATTTTGTATATCAAGAATGTGTATACTCCTTGGAATTAATCTTATACAATATATAGGATAGTTGTAATAAAAATGGAATTGTCTTTTTTATTTTTACTATATTAAATTTGACTTCTTAGCAGAAAATATATGGTCTTCCAATATTATATTTGCTTAAAAGACAAAAACCTAATACAATGGCTTTCTCCATGGAAACAGTATTTAAGATCAAATGTCACGAAGGTCATTCAAATAATGAAAAAGATAATTTAGAAGTTTCATATAATATAACTGAATGTACGCTCTGCATACTGTGTAATTTCTGATAAATGCATAATTTCCTAAGTGCTATGAAAGATAAACTCTAATACTCTGTTTCAGTTCAGTCATATTTAATAACACACATGCTTTTTCTAGTTTAAGGATATGACCCACATGAATTATGTTATCATTTTCTCCTTGCCAGTACATTTGCACTATATTTAGTTGATGAAATGCTGAGCAGCATAAACTAGAGAGCTAAGACATTTGTCATGTTCAGCATCTGCTGTCTAGCTTTGACATTAACAATAAAAACTGTACTGGATTTCAAATATGCCATAGAGCACTGTAGTTAAAATGAAGTAGTACTTCTGTATTGTATTGTTAGTTTCTAGTATGAAAGTGATAGCCACTGTCAAATGAGAAAAGTGTATTTTAAAAGTTGCACTTGATGATCAGACACAATATTTTGAAGGACACATTTTCAACAAAGTGCTTAAATTAGTGATTTATTCACATGGTAGATTGCAAAATCTCTCGCTGCAGACTGGTTAGATTACTGTTTCACTTTTTCTTGTTCCTTAGAGTTTGATGTAGCTGCACGTGTCTGTGGTTGAAAAGATAGTGTTCATAAAGACTGTTTTTAGAATGACGAGCATTAGAATTAAGAAAAAATAATCCAAATTTTAAAAGTGGAGCTGCATAGGGTTTTTTTCCCTCTCTTTAAATTTTTGTAAGTGAATTTAATTTTTATGAAAGGTGCTGGCTTGACCTTTGTGGAGATCGAAGTCCTCTATTTTATCCACAGATCAATTACAGCTCATGCAGATGTAGTGCAAGTTTCCTCACTACTGTCCTGCCCACTTGCCTCAAGTGGGTACTAGAGAGATCAATTTTAGTTCACTTTCCAAGCTCTTTGGCTTCCCTAATACAGCTAATAAATTGGCCAGTTAGTGTTAGCTGTAGTTTTGGTTTTGTGAAGTGGCCATTTGTTGTTGTCTTTGGAAAAGAACCAATATCTTCCCTTCAAAAATTATTTCACGTAGTCACAAATTCCTGACAGATAATAACAATTTACAGTAACTAAATGGGCTTGATTTGAACTAGCAACCTAGACATGAAAAAGACTTATTTTTCATCAATAAATCTCTGCGCTACAAAGTTTAAAATAATGATCCCAAATAATTAACCAAATAGAATTTATGTATCTGTAAATTTAAAATATATGTTGTTGTAGTTAAAGCCAAATTCTGAAATATCAGCTCATCCTTCACTTACCTATGGAATCTTGAATTCAGAATTATTTGTATCCCCTGCTATGGTTCATATAATCTTAAATGCGATAAATAATGCAGACGCAATCCTGCAAGAAGTTGGGCACTTTCAATTCCCCTTGATTCCACTTCACAACTACATCCTCAAAGAAAAATTGGTGAGAAGGATGAAAGATCTTATCAAATGCTTTGTTAGCCCAAACTGGTTCTCTCTAGTCAATATTTTAGCTTTATGGTGAATTGATGAAACCATATATGAAGGCAGTTGGTCGTCGTTTTTGGGCTTCTTTAAATACAGTTTCTATAGTGATTGATGAAAGAATTCTTTGTAAAATTTATTCTTAACCTTCTGTTTATATTAGTTGAGGATCTGGTGATGATGCATGGAAGAATTTGCATATGTTTGGCAAAATAATTCCTCATGGAATCCTCTCATGAAAACATTAGGGCCATATTGTCTCTGTCCCTTTTGTGCATGTTTGAATAGGAAGAAGGTGAAGTTTCAAGAAGCAGATGCCTTCAAGTAGTGTCCCTATGGGTGCTCCACCCTAGGTGTGCTTGTGCCCCATGCATCTCAGATCAGAGATTTTAGGTAGCAGTGTCTGTTTGGCCCACACATGCATTCTCCCATCTCATGCCCTGCAACAGGGTTATATAGCGCTGTGTGGGCAAACCGCCCTCACTTCCTTCTCAACCACCTCAGCAGCATCCGAATTGAGATTACCTCACTTGTATTTTTTTTCTTCTTGTTCGAGATAATTAGTTCATAGAGTTTCCATTAGTTCTAGTACTCCCTTTTCCTTTTCTTTCGAGGAGTTTATAATTTTTTTTTCTTATTAGAATAGCATCCACAATTATTTTTTTCTTGGTTGTTCCCTGTGGGGAAGTGGAACCTGAAAAGGGTATGTCTGGCTCCCCTGGGTTTAAACATTGCCTTCCTGTCGAGAGGCTATCCCAGTCAATGATGGATATTCATGCTGTATACGCTGTCTCGGGGAGTTACACATCCCTCAAAAGTGTTATTTCTGCCTTAAATTAAAATAAAGGGCCAGAAAGAACCAGGAACTAAAACTGATGGAGAGTTCTGAGCCCAGCCCAGGGACCCTCCTTGTACAACGGTCCTTGAGAAGGCCTACTCTATCAACTTCTTTGGCATGACACTCCCCCATGGCTTTGAAGAGGAAATCCCTGGATTCCTCTCAAAAAGTCACCAGAAAGCAGACTTCATGTCCCTTGGGTAGAGAATCTACTACTAAGAGACAATCCCCAGCCAGGTCGACCACCTTGGCACCCACCGATCTCCAGCTCAGTACCTATGAGGCTGCAAGTTCCTCAGGTATTGTCATTGCCAGAAAGCCTAAGGACTCGAAGAGTTTGGGCTCCAGAAGATTGCTACTGTCGGGTGAATGGAATGGCAGAGAGAGAACAGCTTTAAAATTGGTACCGACAGCGTCCCCTAGAGCCTCGGTACCTAGTACGTCAGCTCTGCAGAAGGCCAGACCAACACCTACTGGTCATTCATCAGTGTAAGAGACCTCCAGTACCATCAGCACCTTCTACATCAGTCGCTTCTGCTCATCTTACCTCAGCAGTACTGCCCACCATCCTGGTACCACAGGAATTTTGCTTTTCCAGGGTCTCGGTGGTTTCAGAAATGCCTGAGTGTCTCCTGATCGGCATCAACACATTCCGATACCGACCACCCCTTTCACTGCCCGGACAGACAAACAGTACTGACAGTCTCTCATAGCTTCCATAACTGCTCCACCTCTGCCAAGTGATGAAGAGGAGAACGATGATGACAATTTCTCATCAGTTTCTCACATTTCTGTCCAAGGCTCTCCTTTCCACTATCAGGGAGCTTTCCACAACTGCAGAACCAGCTTACTGTCTTGAGAGAGACAGCCCACCCAGTTGGTATGGATGCCCTTGGGTGCCCACATCCATGTCTTTTGCACCACATCAGTAGCCTTACAAGAACAAGTGCTTGGAGGCACCAGAACAGCTTCTCGCAAGGCTCAGTATTATCTCCAATGTTATTTGACTTATATTTGAATAACCTACCATATGCCGGATCTTGTGAGTTTTATGCAGACGACATATGCCTCGGTACTCAGTTCCACTCCTTTGACATACTTGAGTGATTTGAATGCATATATGGTGGCTATGGCTGATTATTGGTGGTGGTGCCTGATGCCAAGTGTGTTGGGTGTCTTCCACTTAGATCATGCACAAGCGAGCAGAGAGCTGAATATAGTTCTCAATGTTTAGCGAATAAAGCATGATTCACATCCAGTCTATGTAGGCATCACGTTGAATAGAACTCTCACATGTTGTGACCATCTTACAAAAACAGCAACTAAGGTCAAAACGCTCAACAACTTGCTTGGAAAACTGTCCGGAATGACTTGGGGTGCTAATACCCAAATGGTACGCACTTCAGCCTTGGCACTGTTATTCAGCTGCAGAGTACTGCGCTCCAGTATAGAATCATAGAATCATAGAATA